TATTGACTGCTCTAGATTCAGGCAGTAAATTATCTAATTTATTAAAAAAAAAAACCAGGATGTCACTTGATGGTGGTTCAGTTTGGCTATTATACAGTACCAGAATTCATCAATTTTACCTCTTTTTCATCACTGAGTTCCTTCTGTAATTTGCCATTCTTCTTTTCCAATGTTGATTTTTCTTTCAGTAAATTCTGTACTTGGTTTTTATGCTGCTCATATTCCTGTACTTTCTGCTTGTGAATTTGAAGTTAAAAAAAAATGATTTTTGATGTCCTAATTACATTTACTATACTGTCTTACATTTTCAATTAGTCAAAAATACAAAAAAACATATGTGAACATAATTCCCTGTTTGCCTTCTTGCACAAGTATTTATTCAAAAAAACTGAATTTTCTAAAAATACTCATTTGAACGTATCTCGCTTACTCTTGATCGATCGTCTCCCACCTGTTATAGCTGAGACAATTTCCTTTCACAAAATATTAGCATGTTTTTTACTATGTATTATCAATTGTCTACTGGAGGTCAGTGCCAATGGGTATCACCACGGCAGCAAAATAAATATGACTGCCCAACTAGAGTACACAAGATACGCACACTACTTACTTTCATGTGCTTTTCGCTCTCAGCTTTCCTTGATGATTCAAGAGTTGAAACTTTATCTTTCAAACTTTTCTGATTTGAACGTAAACCATTGTTCATATATATTAATATACTAAGTGTTTCCATGGGAAAATATTATACTTTATATTACAATCCATAATTACTATTATAACGTAACTATCACTCCTATGACATAGGTCGGATGATCGTTCATAAATTCACAGGGAAAAAATACTATCACATTAAATGATAGTACTTTTCCCTCATCGCGATTATCTCTAAGCCTCACATATAACGTTGCTGTGTAATTTGACATGCACGGACAGTAAAGAGGACTGTACCCTACACGACAACATAAATTGGCTCGTTGGAAGTGGGCCTAGGACTATTTGGTGGGTACTCTTTTAATTACATTTTAGGCCTTGTGGAATCTATATGTATTGACTGCTCTAGAGTCAGGCAGTAAATTATCTAATTTCATTATTAGAAAATAAACATCCACGAAACAACAGTTCATCAAGTCCTAAATATTTTGCAGCTTATCTTAGTGACCAACCCTCATGTATTCCCCCCAATTAATACTTGTCCTGGGATCTCTGATCATTGTATCTTGACTGCTAATCCCGACTGTAAGCCATCAATTCAGAAGACTCCTCGCAGAAAGATCTATAAATTTCACAAGGCCGATATTGGAAGCACGAAGAAAATTTTCAAAGTCCTTTCTGAATGATGGTAATGAGTTACCTGTGGAAACCAATTGGCAGAGGTTTGAATCCGCCATACTTACAGCAATGGACACATTTATTCCATCAACGTACAAAAGTTCAAGATATAATCTACCCTGGATGACTAGACCCCTCAGACGTCTTGTTAGAAGAAAGCGGAGAGCCTTTTATTAGGCAAAGCGTAATAGTTGTCATCAGAACTGGGAACGTAGGAAATGTGTCCAGAAGCGATTAAGGAAAGCCGAACAGGAATATTTTTCTACCACAGTATTTGACTCTCTCTGCTCAGACTCAAAAAAGTTCTGGTCCTTCATAAAACAAAGGCGACGTGATTCATCAGGCATTGCTACCTTATGGAATGACCAGAATTTTGTGAGTTCAGCATGTGAGAAAGCCGAGGCCCTTAGTAACCAGTACAAATCAGTTTTTACAGTAGAAGGTCATGGCCGGTTACCCAATTGCAATGGTAGAAAGCTTCCTCAAGTCCCTGAGTTAGAGATTCAGAATGATGGGATACTTAAGCTTCTCCAGAAATTATCCCCACACAAAGCCCCGGGACCAGACAGCATACACCCGTTTGTATTACAGAAATGTGCTAATGAGATAGCCCCTGTCCTAACTAAGATATTTAACCAAAGCATCAATGAAGGTGTCCTACCGTCAGCCTGGACTAAGGCTAACATCTCAGCCATCTATAAAAAAGGAAGCCGCACTGATCCATCAAATTATCGCCCTGTGTCACTAACCGCCATACTGTATGTTGCAAAATCATTGAGCATGTTATTTATAGTCACGTAATGCGTTATCTTGACCACTACCAAGCCCTTAGTGATTTTCAACATGGTTTTAGAGCTAGACGATCATGTGAAACCCAGTTGCTTTCAACAGTTCACAGTATCTGGGAAGCCAACGAGAATGTGAAACAAGTCGACACCATTGTTTTAGACTTTGCCAAAGCGTTTGATACGGTCCCTCATAAAGACTCCTGCACAAAATCAGACACTTCAGTATCACTGGTCCCCTACATAAATGGATTTCATCTTTTCTCATCAGCAGAAAACAGGCTGTCAACATCCAAGGAATTGCATCAAAACCAGTGACAGTCCTCTCAGGTGTGCCCCAGGGCACAGTTTTGGGACCCCTATTATTTTCATCATACATTAACGACCTGCCAGATGGGCTCAAGTCAGAAGTTCGCTTGTTTGCAGACGACTGTATTATCTACCATCCAAAACGACCTGAAACACCTCGACAAGTGGGAAAAGAAATGGCCTATGTCCTTCAAGCCTGAAAAATGCAGTGTTTTACGATTCAGTAGAAAGAGAAACATCTTCAAATTTTCTTATCGCTTATCTGGTCATGTCCTCCAGCCCCTTCACCAACACAAACATCTAGGAGTAACTCTATCTACTGATATGAAATGGAACCCGCATGTAAACTGGGTAGTCAATAAAGCCAATGGCATGCTGGGATTTCTTCTGTGCAATTTAGGCAATGCTCCACAGCATGTTAAAGTCCAAGCATATAAAAGCCTGGTTCGACCAGACGTTGAATACTGTAGCTCGGTATGGGATCCGCATACCAAGTGTAACATTCAAAAAGTTGAGGCTGTTCAAAGATGTGTGGCTCGCTTTATTACTAATAACTATAAGTGGGACTCCTCTGTTACCGCTATGCTTAAAGAAATCAACCTTCCTCCACTTGTTCACTGACGTAAAGTCAACAGACTTGTTATGATGCACAAGATTGTTCATCAAAATATTGATCTAAAGTTTGATAACCACCTGGAATTCAACAGACGAGCAACTGCTGCTAGATGCACTAGGAACCATAACATAACCCACTTTCATTAAAGATACCGAAGGCCAAGAGAAATCGCTTTCTTTACTCTTTTTTCCCCAACACAGCTAAAGACTGGAATGCCCTCCCTTTTTCTTCTACTTCAATCAATAATTCCACTGCCTTTTGCAAGCTTATTGGTAACTCTGACTAGTCCCTCCTCTGTCGCCACTCTCCAAACATTGAGTGATACTCCAGCCGGAGTTTTTCAATTACTCTATCAAGATCAAGATCAAGATTTTTTTAAAAACCAGGATGTCACTTGATGGTGGTTCTGTTTGGCTATTATACAGTACCAGAATTCATCAATTTTACCTCTTTTTCATCGCTGAGTTCCGTCTGTAAATTGCTGATTGTTTGACTATTCTTCTTTTCTAATGTTGATTTTTCTTTCTGTAAATTCTGTACTCGGTTTTTATATTGCTCACATTCCTCTACTTTCTTCTTGTGTCTTGATTCTGACTCTAACCTCTGAAGAAAAAAAAAAAAAATTTCATCAACTACATTGGTTCTTGAAGACATACACAAAATCTTGACACACGTTTTTAATCAGAATAATAACCTTTAGAGGTCTGTATTTTTACCCTTAGTCTACACATTTTTGTAGATGTACATACATATATAGAAGTTTAGGAATGGTATAAAAAATTCCAGGATGATGGCAGGTAGGTGTTAAATTTAAAGCATCACTTTTAGTTTTAGATATACATACATACACACATAATAATCATCAAAGAAAGGTAAACATACATACATGTAGTACACACACACCCACAAGCTTGTGTAATAAACAATTCCACCATAAACTGCTTGTAGTGTTTTTATTTTATGGGTCTACTAGACTAACACTGCTCTATTTACTTCTATATTCAATTGAAAACCAAAATTTAATTCACGAAAGTGGAAACGGTTTGGCGCAGCAGTTTCCCAACCCCAAGGTTGGGGTTTCAATGCCTCGCTGTGCATTCGATAGGATTTGAACCCAGGGGATTGGAAGGCAAGCAACACACCCACCAAGCTACTTCTCCACTCCCACTACCTGCAAGCCGATTCTTCATGTCATCAAAAAATTAACTCAATATTACCTGGGATAATGCTTCTTGTTCTATTCCTGATATTCTCTCCTCATAATTGGCTTTCTGAGACTCACGTTTCTGAGACTCATCATTTATGGAATGCATGTACTGAAAAAAAGATTAGATATATTTCAAGCTCATGTTTCCAAATAGCAAAAACAAAAAACCTGTGGCTGAAAATGCAATGATGGGTTTACTGAAAGTTTCACAAGGATTTCAACCTCTGTAAATTTAAGATCCTTCTCAACTAGTGAATTCAGCCTTCCTGCAAGAATATTTTTCCTGTAACTGCCAACACTCTGTCCTATGATATATATTTGGGGCTTTCTCCTGTACCTGCTTTTTGTGGAAAAACACTCTTCACTTCACCCAGAAATACAGTATAAATGGGAGAATGAATGAAATTGGAAGCGGTGTACATGCATAAACAGGAATAATCCACAGGAAGTGGAGGAGGATCGCATATTGTGTATGATCGATACTGTATCCAAAACACAAGCAAAAAAGCACCTTGCATTTTGATATCTAGGCACGTAGTTCAGTCTTTGGTTGATGCAGGTGGAATTTCTGAAAGATAGGGTGAGACCACCAAGACCTGCAAATTATTTTTCAAGTGCACTCTCTGATTCGAGACCCCTATTCTTGATATTCTCTCCTCATAATGAGACTCACAGACTTTGCATATACTGTTTTACATTTTCAATTAGTCAAAAATACAAACAAAAAAATAAATATAATCACTCATGAATCTCTTTATAATTCACTCAATATTACCTCTTCTTGTATTCTTGATATTTTTTCATATGCTTTCTGTGAGGAATGTTGAATAAATAAAAGAAGTGCCTAAAAAAAAGAATATTAAGAATTAGATATCTCATCCCCTACATTCCTGGCTTATTCATCACACCCCTCCCTAAATTCATCCTTATCTGTCCACCTTTGCATCAGATTCTTCTATATTTATTTCATTAAAAAATGTTCACATTTTTCTGTTAATTGTATTTTTCTATTCATCCTCATTTTGCACTTAAACCTGCTTATCACCTTTTTCTTATTCATTACCAACCTTCCATGCTATTCTTCACAACTTACCTTTAGTGGTAACAGTTTTTCTCCATCTTTTGAATGCAGATGAAAAAAATTTTCTGCAAATGAACAACTCAATTTTAAAAATAATTATCCCATTATAAATGAACAGTGAATACTATTATGCTGAATAATAAAAGTAATTGCATTAAAAACGGATGAATGGAACATGTTATGGAGTGTATAGGCATGTATGTGGGATGTATGTGCATATTCATAAATTTGATATCAATGTCCTTACGTCCAGCATAATTCCACACTTTGTTCCCACCAACTTGTAATGCGTACATGTGTTGCGTTGTCTTGAAATGTGTGTCTGCATGTGATTGACAACTAACAACACCACACTCCAGGCAAAGATACAAAGTCTGTTTTAGAAGAATAATTACAATATGCACAATATAAAAATGTTATCACTGAACACAATATATAAAAGCTATTACTAAACACAAGATATAAATGTTACTTTAGAATATCATATTTATATTGCAGGCACTTAAAGTACACATGTTCTGATTTTTAAAGTAGTGCAGTTAAACATCAGAACAGGAAAGATAAACAACAAATAAAATCAAAGTCTAGAGAAAACTCATGTAAAATTTATAAATTAATAGAATTTCTTTATTTAAAAAAAAAATATTCCTTGTTTCATTTGCAATAATAAAATATAATACGAGTCACAATATCTATCTGAATTAATTGATTACAATTAATAAATGAAACGATTAGCATTTTTAAGTGATGCAAGTCTCATATTATGTCACACTTAATGGCTGATTCCATGATAAATGAACGAGAAAATGTTATCTTCTTACCTCTTGATTAGTACAAGTGAAACATTTACTAAGTTCCACTTCTAGGGGTTTAAAAATCCCACATTCTGGACAACTGTCAAAATAAAAATTGACAAGAATCAGGGTGAATAATAAAATCATTATTAAGAACGTACTGAGAAATCATGATGATAATGTAATTGTGTCTGTAGGTTCTAGTAGACGGGAGCATTCTTTTACCTGTCCATCAAAACAGCGACTGGGTGGACCTTTGGACATGATTTTACCTTTTGACGGTCTTAATTAAGGTCCCCAATAACTGGCAGACATGTTGGATGTGTTCCACACACTACATGTGTGGTGATACAGTGGTAGTTAAATTAATAACAGAGGTCCCCTGTAGACCAGTAATCAATATAATACA